CAATATCCTGACGTGGAATGTTTCTAAGTTTGAGGCAGGGGTGTTGGCTCAGCAGCAGAGTGTCTGTGCTGCAGGCAGAAGGTCACAGTGCCAATCCCTGATACTTCTAGTTCAGTGATAGCAAACCTTTTAGAGACCGAGTGCCCAAACTGTGACCCAAAACCCACTTATATATCGCAAAGTGCCAACACGGCAATTTAACCTGAATACGGAGGTTTTACTTTAGAAAAAACAACTCATACATTAACTTAAGATGATCCAAACAAAGTAAGGAAAGCAATCCCAAATGCTTTCATTTACTTAAAATTATTTGGCAGAGAATTTGACACTTTAATGATGGTCTGGGCCTGGCTGGGGCGATGGCACGCGTGCCCACAGAGAGGGCTCTGAGTGCCACCTCTGGCACCTGTGCCATAGGTTCGCCACCACTGTTCTAGTTAAAAGGATCAGATAGTAGGGGATGGTTAAAACCTGAGGCCTGGAGACCCCCGCTGTTGCTCAGAGTAAACAGTTCTGACCTTAATAGGCCAATGGTGTGTTCATATGTAAATTCCTCTGTTGCCACTCAGCAGTATGAAATGGATAATCAGAAGAGACCTCCAGAATATCGGCTGAGGTGGAAAACTTTTCTTATTTCTTCCCTCCCAAGGACACTTTGGATGCCTACCCATGCGGCTCAGACCACACCCCCAGCCCCATGGCCAGCCGGGTGCCACTCGAAGCAGCCCCAATCCTGGAGAAGCCGGACGCCCGTCTGACTGCAGTCGCTGTCAGCATCGAAGACGGACACACCGTCGTTTTCCTGGGGGACAGCAGAGGTCGGCTGCACAAGGTATGGGCTCCTCGGCTCCCGCGTAGGAGGAGAAGGAAGCCTCGTAGGGGATCGTGGCTCCGCCCCTACCCAAGCCAGGTTTTGGCTGTTGCTTGCAGGGACAAGTCAGGGCCGCTTTGCACATTGCTTGTTCCAACGGCAGAGATTCATCCTGGATAAAGAAATGTGCAGGTGTTTATCATCCATCTAGTATTGATAAGCGCCCCTCCTGGGTGGTCAAAAAATCCGCAAGAGCTTTGCATAAAAATGATAAAGAGGAACAAGAAACAATAGATAGGGGTTAATTCCTGCCCCCAAACCACACAAAAATATAAAACAAAACAATAGAGATCAGATGGGGCTGGGGGAGGCAGTCAGTGGGGTGGGGAAGGCCGGGGTGAGGGAAAGTGGCAACTGGAAGAGTTTTGGAAGGCGTGGAAACTTAAGTCATTCGGAAGAGGGAGAAGAGCGAGAGAGGAAGAAGTGGGAGCCAGCAGGGAATGGAATTTCCACTCCCCCTGTGGAGTCCTGAGCGGCCGGCTTTGCATAATGTATTCTGCTGGTCGCAGGGAGACCTGAAGAGAGAGGCAGAGCTCTCAGGCGGCACCCCTGGGGGCAGCCTGGAATCCCACAGAGTGCCCCTGCTGCCTCCTGAGATCCCACCAGGCCTGTTGCCAGCAGGGGCACTCCGACATAAATTTGCAACTAGAAACTTATTTGGAAATGGAAAACGCGAAAGGCTGTTGTGCATCTGGTACCAGTTCCGATATTTGTGCACAATCAGAGCTATTTTTGAGCAGGAACGCACAGGAACTGAGTTCCGGCTGGCTCCTGAGTTGGCCACGCCCAGCAGGAACTCATTAGCATAATAGGCCACACCCAACAACAGAAACTCATTAGGATTGGCTACATTCGGGGTGTGTGGCCTAACATGCAAAGAAGTTCCTACTACAAAAAAAGGCCCTGGGTTTTGACCACAAACAAGGGAAACAGAATAAGAAGCAAAAGGTTGGTGTGGCTGGATGACCACACTTCTGGTAACATGGGGGTGCAGCCTAATAGGCTAATGAGCGGTGCTGTCAGGTGTGTGGCCTAATATGCTAATGAGTTTCTGCTATTGGGTGTGGCCTATTATGCTAACGAGTTCCTGCTGGGCTTTTTCTCCAAAAAACGTCCTGTGCACAATCATGGGCTGCGCACCGTGTAAGTGTGGCTCTTTTTTTGGACCATGCAGAAGCAGGCCAGGAATTGGAGATGCAAGGACAGAAACACTCTGCTCCACACGGGATGACATATACGTCCGGGTTTTTTTTTTACACTGAGACAAATTTCAGCACCGGGAAAAATTAATGTGTGCTGCTGACTCTTAGGACTCCCCCATCCTCATTGTTTCCCACATAGAATAAGTGAGCCTTGAGCGGGACTTGATGTGCCAGAACTGCCCTGCAGCAGCACTTAGCTCAGACTTCTCTCTGAATATGGTGGACTGCGCAAGAGAACCACATCTCCCCAGGCCCTCCCTGTCCTTAGCTATTTTTTTTTTAAAACATTCAGCATTCTGCAGTTCAGAAAGCTAAATTCAACAGGTTTCCGTAAGGAAGAAACTGTGGCCACTGCAACAATGGCTGCTGTTTTGCAGATATGGCAACTGAAGCTGAGGGGAGAATCTGTCCATGGCTGAGTCTACCCGAATCATTTGTAGTCGAAGCCATTACCCAGTGATAACTCACTCAGTGGTTTGGGAGCCACATGGGGCTCTTTGGCATATCACCTGTGGCTCTGCAGAGCACTGTTCCCCAATGTGGCACCTGCCCCATGTTTATAGAAAGTGGGCAAGGCCCCTTGTCTGGTGGAGCTAGTGGTTGGCTGTTGGTTCCCACCTTGAAACAGCTGCCACTGGAATAACAGGCCAGGGGTAAGCCTCCCTGAGGTGCAGGCCTCGTGCGAGGGATGGAAGTAAATGTGGCTTGTTTGGATGGTGGTAATTGCAAACGTAGCTCTCTGTGAGCTGTGGATTAAGTACCAGTGCCATAACCCATCACTGTAGCCGTACAGCAGTTTCTCCCCACTATGATTCCTCAAGGCAAGACAATCAATGTTCACTCGTTCAGCCCAATTATCCTGTCAGCATAGGCCATTTTGGTGGTGCCTGTACCACTGTATTGTTTGTTGCGGGCAGGCCCCAATCAACCCATGCTGTCAAGAAGCAACCTTTCCTCCAATAGTTGGTCCTTGGCGCCACCTGGTGGCCCTCCTCCAAAATGAAGCCTGGGCTAGCCGCTTCCGCGGATGTACCCCGAAACGTACCGCTGGAAGCGACTAGCGAAGTCAGAGATCCCAGAAGAGATCAGGGCCTTGCGGGACCTTTGAGAGTTCCGCAGAGCATGCAAGACGGAGCTCTTCCACCAGGCCTTTGACTAAGGAGCCGCTGCCGCCACCATCTTCACCACCACCAACCTCATTATTAAAGAGGCGCCCGACTCCACCATTACAGCCTGTGCCAGTCGTGTGTATATGATAAAGACTTAGAACTGGTGAATAAAGTAACCATTGCCGCCATCCCTCATATATTAGTTTACAACCAGCTAGCACTTTATGCTTTGAATTGTTTTTAGATGGTTTTAACGATGTTGTAATTGTTTTTATGCTGTTCTTGTAACCCGCCCTGAGCCTGCTTCATCGGGGAGGGCGGGGCATAAATCAAATCAATCAATAAATAAATTCTGATCTGGGCTTCTCTTTTGGGTTCTGTGAAGACCAGTCATTCAGGAGTTACTTAGATTATCTTCCAGAGGGTGGTGGCCATGTTGGTCTGCAGTGGAAGAGCTAGACTGGATTCCAGTAGCCACTTAAAGACCAACAATATTTCTGGGCTGGAGGCTTTCGAGAGTCAAAGAGCTCCCTTTGTCAGATATGGATTAAATTATCTTCTGCCCGCTCCCTTCCTGCTGGTCTCCCTTCTATATTTTACTGCTCAAGTCTTGCATGATCTCTGCTGGGGTTTTTTGAGTGTCGCTCCTCTCATTCTTCTTAATGTGCCCGTTTTATTGCAGGTTTTACAGTTTATCATGCTGCTGGTTTATTTATTTAGTTATAAGTGCCCTTCTGGATGCCACACGCCGCTTCGGAAACATTTCTATTGAGAGAGCCGGGGCATCAATATTTTAAATAAACTTTTCTCGTAAAGTTCTTTCCAGCAACCAGAAAGAAACCTGTGCTTTCCTGGGCTGGATTAGGGACACGGGGTTTTTATCTTACCACAGATGCTAATTTTCGGTCCCCAGACGTCTCCCCTCTGCTTTCGTTAGGTGGATTACAATCAGTGTTCCCTCTAAGCTGTGGAGTCTTGTGAGCAAAAATTCTACTTTGTGAGCTACTGGCATTAAAGTTGTGAGCGAGCAATTTGGCTGCTGCATAGATTAGTTTGCTCTGGAGCCCGCCTTCCTGAGCTGAGACAAAAATGTGTTAGTCGGAGGCATAAAAAACTGTGAGCTAGCTCACGCGAAGTCAGCTTACAGGGAACACTGATTCCAATACCCATGATACCTTCTCATCCTTTGCAAGCATCCTGTACGACACCCCTTCCATCTTCTGACCAGGATAAAAGGACTCAGATCTCCATTTCTACTCTGCTGTGTCTGGCGAAGGGAGCTTTGACTCTGGAAAGCCGATACCCCGAAATTCGTGTTGGTCTCTAAGGTGCTACCAGACTTGGATCTGGCTGTTCTACTGCAGACCAACAGGGCTACTCTGTGAAATTGCATATAAGTAAACGCACATGCAATAGATCCAGCAGCTTGCTTTTCATAATCCTTTGGAGGCTTGGAACTCCTTTGTTGCAGAACTCCAACATGGGAGCATTTCATAGGATCATAGAATCACACAGTTGGAAGGGACCTCCGGGGTCATCTAGTCCAACCTCCTGCACAATGCAGGAAATTCACAAATATCTTCCCCTCCACACTCCCAGTGACCCCTGGTCCACGCCCAGAAGATGACAAAAAAAAAAAAAAACCTCCAGCAT